CGCCCAGCTGAAAATGTGCCACTGCCATCACACCCGCCTCACCATCTTCTGGCTGGGGACAGAGGGACAGGTGTCGTCTCTGGTCAGGGTATCACAAATGCAACATGCAGGCTCGGCAGCCATCTGACCCACCGCAGGTTGCAAGGAGAGGGAGCAAGGTGGGAAGAGGTGAAAAGAGACGTCTACTTAAACCTTCACTCAAGGAGCTACGAAACGGCAAGGGAAAAAAATAACTGTGTCTTGACTTTGAGGAAAAAAGAACAACAAAAAAATAATGCTTTTACTCTTTTTAAACATTGTGGCTTAAGTCCATTTTCATCACAGCAAATGAAAGACAATAATGCACCCACAAGCCTTGAACTTCCATAGGATTCTCCTCCCCCTGGGCACACCCCACATACACACATGAAAAATCCAGACAGCTGACAGAGGACACGTCCGTGTAGCACCTGTAATTTGCCTACTGATCACCAGCCTGAGCACAGCCAGGCTGTTTGAGGAGAGAGATGACAAGACGGAGAGAGACTCAGGCAGTGCCTTTCCTGAGTTTGTTTTTTCCTCATCTGGGAGAACCTACAAGCTGGAATAGGCAGAACCAGGGGCCCCTACCCTTGGGCAGAACTGGTCTAATGACGCAGAGCTAGCCTTTCCCTTTTCATGAGGACAGTCCCTTCCTCTTGGCCACTAGCAGCCCGGCTACTCATTTCCCAAAACCCCTGTGTGGTTACTGGTGCAGGAGTCCAGGGACAGGTGGTTCCTCAGAGCGAGAGACAAATAGCAGACAGCAAGGTGGTCACCGTGCCCCAAAGTCACAGGGGTGTCTGGGCACTGACATAAGGCTGGGTCATGGTGCCCGTAGATACAGCTGTTGTCCTAAAGGCCACATGCACTGAATACCCATTTGCAGCCCCAGATGCATCTGGCCAAGCTCACCCAGAGGAGGAAGCCCGAGTTTCCAGGCTCCTGGGGAGGGAGAGAAGGCTCAGAAGGACCACGGAGAACCAGCAGAAGCTGGCAGGGCCAAGAGATGCTATTACCCTGTTGGCAGGGGCAGGCGGGGGTCCTCCCTGCCATTCACCTTCAGCCTCCACCCCGGCACCTTCACCTCCCAGTTGGGCTCTCCAGGGGACCCTTCCCCCCAGGTTTAGTGGCGGGGGCAAGAACAGGGGACACTGACCCCTTCTGTGGCACTGGCCGAACAGTAAGGTGCTCGCATCCTCCGCATCCAGCCCTCCCCCTCAAAGGAAAAGGCCAATGAAAATAAGTGTGGAGGTGCCCCCCACCTCTGGATCTAAAGCGCCAGGTTCCTACCCGGGAGGAAACATGAGGCAGACGCTGGGCTCTGACTCCGCCGGGCAGGGGTCGCTGGCCGCCCCCTCACCCAACCCCAGGTTTCCCCTCTCAACCCGGCAGCGGCAAGGAAATCAGCTGGCAAGCTCGGACCCCCCAGAGATCTCGCTCTGTGCGGTTTGGGGGATGGGAGGGAGAAGGGGAACCGCGGGGAAGTTTCGCGACGCAGCCAGAAGAGCTGGGACCCCGGCTGCCCGCCCTCTGGGCTTGGGGCCGCCGCCCCCGGTCGCAGCGGGCGGCAGGACCCAGCGCCCCGGCCCGGGCGCGGGCTGGGGGACGGAGGGGGTCTCCGGGCTCGGCCGGGGTCCCGCGGCCGGCCGAGGCCACTTACGTGTGCTGCTGAGGAAAGCTGTAGGCAGAGGCGCCGGGGGCGGCGAGCAGCGGGAGCAGCAGCAGCGGCGGCAGTAAAAGCGATAGCGGGCGCGGGGGCCGAGCCGCCGGCCGCCGGGCGCTGAGGCCGGGCCGCGAGCCGCGGCCGGGCCAGCTGAGCGTGGTCCGCGCCGGGCCGGGCAGAGAGGCGCCGCAGGTCTGAGCCGGCACCGCCATGTTTCCATTCAAGATGCGGCGCCGCGGGGAGGGGTGGGGGCGGCGGCGGCGGGTTGCGGGGTGCGCGGGCGGTAGGCGGCAATCGCCTCTTCTCCTCCTCCGCCTTCTTCGCGCGGGGCCTCCGGGGCTGCCCGAGCCGCAGCACCTCTGCGGGCTGCGGGCTGCGATCTCTCCGCCGCGCTAGCTCGAAGCGCTCTGAGCGCCGGGTCCCGGACCAGCGCTCAAATAGCGGTCGCCGCCAATCTGCCGGCGCCGCCCTCCCCGCTCCCTCCCTCCCTCCCCGCTTACCCGGCCGGTCCGCCCCCGCGCGCCCCCGTCGCGGCCACGCGCTCGCCGCGGCCTGCGCGCCCCTAGCGCCGCGCTGAGCCGGCCCTGCTGGCCCGCGTGGCCGAACTGAGCCGGGGCACGCGCGTCTTGAGCCCCAGCCAAGTCCGAATTTCCAATGTGCGCCCTGCCCCACGCCTCAGACTGCGAAGAGTCCCCGGCAGGCGCATATTGACCCTGCTGGGGGCTCGACCTTCAACAGGCTTAAGGCCTGGAGTCACAGGTTTAATGGTAGAATGGCAGGCTTCAGCAGAGACCACTGTAGAGGGCAACGGAGCTGAACTCATACCCCCAGGGGCTCCAGCTACCTTCAAGGGTCCTCTCTGGGGGAACTTGGGTCCCAAGGCTCTGACAGAAAGAAAAAGCCTGGGTGGGAACAGGTCCAGTTGCACAGTTGTGAGGGGCTGGGAATGGATGCAGCGCTCTGCAACCACTCATTTCACTTCCCTGGGCTAAGCGGGCACTGTGTGCAGACGAGCCCCAGCCCCTGAGGCTTGCACAGCCTCTATTTAAACTCCTCCAGTGCCAGTAAGCTCACCCCTGCACAATCCAATCCCTTCTGTCCTGGAGGCTCCTGGCTCTCCCTTGCTGCTGGGAGAAGGCTGGGCTAGTGTCAATTCTGACTCTTCGGCTTGTGGGCCTCTCAGAGTCTCAGTCTCCTCCCTTGTGAATGCTTGTGTGGGTGCCCACCCCCATTTCCAGGATAAAGTGAGAATGGAAGTGAGTTGCTTGGTAAATTGAAACACTCATGGTTGGGGGAGAGTATCCCTGAGATTCCCCTGAAGTTGCCCTGCGGCCCTGCTCTGCCCCTGGCACAGATAAGATGGGAGAATGCTTCCTACCAGCCTGGAACAGAGCAAGACCCCCTAAGCAGTAACTGCCCACAGATTCGGTGCCTAATATGAGTGAGGGCCAGTAACCACCCGAGCAAGAGCCCCCCACATTATGATATCTGGCCGAGTCTCCCATCACCTACTTACAAGTCAGCCTAAAGAGGATTTGCAGTGGAGGGGGAAGAGTGGTAACCCCTGGACTGAGGAGGGCAGAGCTGCCCCTCTCGCCCAGACAGCGGCAAGGGAATAGGGCTCAGGACAACCTTTACTTGCTCCTTATTCCTGCCTGGGCAGTCCTACCCCTGCCTACCTTCACAAGGCAGGGAGACAGCTTTGGAGTATCCTCCTTTTCTGACCTGAGTGAGTCTTCGGAGGCCAGACTGAGGCTTGCCATAGGTCCCAAACATATTGTTAAATGAAGGCAGTGCCCTGGGCCCCAAACCCCTGATAGGCCTTTGGGGGCTGGTGAACAGGAGGGGTATAGTGGACTCTGGAAGGCCAAGCCAGGCCAGTTCTATGGAGGACAAGGCAGATGCCTGATTGTGCAGACGTCCCCACCCCCACTTCTGGGCAGGGCAGTCCTTCCACCTGGACAGAATGATGGGGGCAGGGTGCGTCACAGAAGAGTCAACAAGCTTGAGCTAACCTAACCAGCCCCCTCCTAGCCCCTCCTACTGATAGTTGTCTCTAGCACCTCTATCTCCCCCATGCCTAGGGAAGGGCTGGCCCATGGTATCCTCACCCATCTGTTTGCTGGATAAATGCCTGTGCTTATGGCCCCAGGGAACCAGCACAAAGGGCATCACCCCTCCTGGGTGCCCTCTGGGGTTAGGTGGGCACCTTCCCAAGGCCAGCTCTGCAGGGGCTGAGTGAGAAATGTCAGGGGCAGCCTCCCTGCCCTTTGACACCAGGATGGCAGCACTATCCCCAAAGAGTGCCCAGGTCATCAGGTACCTGTACCCAGGCTGGGTGCAGCAAGTGGGCATTGGTAGTTGGGCATTTCAGTTCCAGCCTCCACAGATGTGCACCTAATTGAGGCTGCTGGTGCCGAGGGAAAGGCGGGAGATTTTGGTTGACAGGCCGTTAAAGGAAGACAAATAAGGAGGGGAGGTAATTAAGAGTAAACGGGTAGTAAGAGTCTACACACTCCAACTTCAGAGGCTCACAACATCCTTGGTCTCCTGGCTCCTGGCTCCAGCCACAGGTTAAGATCATGGGAAGAAAAATCAAGACTTCCTAGCAAATAGGGGGACTTCCTGGGCAGGAATATTGACAGGTTTGGCAGCAAAAGCCTGGGGCTACCCATCTGGCCAGATGTGCCTGTGCTAGAAGATGTAAGGCAGCAGGGGCAAGTAAAGGTGCAGCCAGCAGAGAGTGGCAGGGGGCCTGGCAGGTGCCAGTTCTGCATGTGAGCTGAGGGGAAGTCAGCTAAGCAAGCCAGAAGAGACTGAGAGGTCTTTATGGAAAACCTACTATGTGCCAAGCAAGTCCTGAGGGATGAGGAAGCCTATCAGGAATGTCCAGGACACCTGGGGCAGCAAGATCCCCACTTCAACCTGCCTACGTTCAGCCTCCCTCCCATCACCCTTTTGCTGCTCTATAAGCCAGTGGGTTGGAGAGCTCCTGGCTTTCTTAGAGTTTTACGCCTGCAGTTCCTTCTGCCTGGAACACACTCTCTCATCTCTACCACTTGAACCCAGAATGTTTATGAACCCATAAATACCACTTATGCCAGGAAGCCTTCCTGGACCTCCCCTCAACTAGATAGGCTTCCCCACTCCAGTCCCTACTCTCCTGCCCCCTCCCCCCTGCCACACACACATGCAGCAGCCTCTGCCTTGGGTTCAGAAAAACACCAGCACCCAAGCTGGGACCCCAAGTCTCCCTTGTCCCTGTCACCACCTCAGGGCCCCACACAGAGCCTGGCCATTGGCAGGGCACAGGAAGGGTTGACATAAGGACTTTTGGGTGGCATCTCCAGGAGCCTGGGGCTATGCCCAGGAAGAGTGGTCTGGCCTGGGCGTAAGGAGTGATAGCTTTGGCCTCAGATATCACAGGTTACATCGGCAAATCACTTTGCCTCTCTGAGCCTTTGTTTCTTCGTCCATGTAATGGGAGATACGGTACCTGCAGGGATGGTCTGAAGACCCAAAACATGTAACAGCCTAAGGGCAGGACTTGGTACTTTGCAAGGCCTTAATGAAGGGAAACCACAGAGAGACTCAGGCATCCCCGGGAAGGGGTTATGGTGAGCAAAGAGACTCAGGCTCCAGACTGAGGTCGAGACTCTGTCCTCTGTGCCCCCTCTCAGGCACCAGGGCCCTCAGAGTCCTCAGAACTCCCCTTGGGAGGACTCTGACCTGAACATCTTCCCCAGCAGAGTGAGAGGCCCCTCAGTGCCACCCCTGTGTCCTATACACAGTGATGTGTGTGGCACAGAGACCCAGATGCTGGGTTTGCCCCCTCCCCTGAGGCCTTCATTCCACCGTGGCAATAGAAAATGAGGACAAATAAAAAAGAGGAATTCTCCTCTCAGAAGAGCATTAGGTGTCTGAATGGCTTCCAAATAAATAAAAGTCTCCTCAAAGCCCCCGGCCAGCACTGACAGCAGCTCTAACTCTCCACAAGACGTGTTTTTCTGCCTCCAGGTGGAAGTGAAGAGTGTCAACGGTGGGCGAAGTCAGGGTCTGAGGAGGCAGCCTTCCATCACCTCCTAACACCCCATCAGTGCCTCGGCGGTATGGCCACGGCAAATTGCCTCCTCTGATGGCCGCCCCTCCAGGCCCTCAGAGAGCAGAGAGAAACAGGTGCTGGTCGCCCCCACCAAGGCAGGGAAA